AATTATTGGACTCACCAGTCTGGACATGGTCCAGGGTACAAATATCCGTGTGAACGTTGGTGTACAGGGGGCGTATTGCGAATGCCTGAAGAAATAATGTAGACGAAACAACTACTACTTTCAGAACATAACAGAAAACCCCGGGAACAGCCAATAATAACTTCGGGCAAGTGCATCAGGCTCAACTTATGCTGAAACTCAAGCGTAGAATCGCAAACGTTTGAGGCACTGTCTGACACGTCCGCCTTCTGAACTTGAAAGAATAGGTGTTCATCGAAGCTGAGTGACTGGTCTGATAAGTGCTGTAGTATTTTGGAGATGAATGAATTCGTCCCCTTGACTCATTGTGTCGAAGACCACGCCGTGCCTATCTCCCATCTTGTCAGACGCCTGCCATATGGTTCTGCGTTCAGAAGTCGCTTCGCAAGGTGATGAGAGCAAATTATTGGCTAAACGCTCATGTTAGTGGCTATGACTAGGATAATGTTGTCTTTGCTGCCGTCATCATCTAAGGCTGACAAAATTCAGTGCATACGATTCTTGGCCTTTGGCTACGACAATTCCCGGTTTGTGCTTGAACGGCCATTCCTTGTTCAAATTCAGCCGCTGATCGAACGCATATTTGTTCGACCCATCACTGACAGGTGGCATAAAACCTTATGCATTGCGGGTGCACAAACACTACGGAGCCGTGACTGCCTGAAATTGCCTCCACTGCATCTAGAAACAAAGGGCAGCGCGATTATGCCATGTAAATTGGCTGATCAGGCAGGATATATAAAACTTGGCTTGAGTGCCACGGTCTTGACTCAATCTTCAACAACTCACGTTCTTAGTGTTCCCCCTTGCATAACTCTGTTTCAGAGAAGGTAGATCTGATGGACGGCAATGCAGTAGGCCATGAAGGCGTAGACCAGCGTTGACAGAGCAACAACATCACACCCCTAAATATCTCAAGGCAGTCTACAATCGTTTGGTCAACGAAAGAAATCATTCATGCGGGACACAGAAGCTCAGCCAATGGATTGTCAAAGAACAATGCATCAACGGTTCAGAATGATTAGACACGTCACAATCGGAAGCATCAAAAGTTTTTGATACGAAGCCTTTGACATTTTGGGGAAAAAACAACAGTTGCTTGTCAAGAGGATTCAATGAACAAGTCATTGTCCAGTCAAAGAACATTGTCAGTAGAAACGATAGCATGAAAGTCGGCACGAGGGCAGCCGCACGACGAGGTAAAGAACAAGCCAACTACCACCAGGCCAAATGTGAAACCGTATTTTATTGTTTCTTACTGAAAGAGGACAGTAACATGAAGCTCGAGTTTCGTGCCTTCGTACTTTTTCTTTTAAAACCATTTTAAAAAAATAATTTCAAATTATTACTACAGAAATCTATGAATACTCATCTGAAAGGATTTTTTAACTGACAACAAGAGCAATAATTGATTGATCCTTCTTCACAATTGACAGGGATCACCGCTGCCTCGTCTCGATACCAATACTCATATGTACGGCAGATTTTTCGCTACAGAATTTCATACTTTTGTTTTAGCTCAATGCTTAGTTTTTGGGGTTTTCCAATTGGGCGCTTTCAGTCCATAAGTATTCATACGCCATTGTTGAAGTCCATCTGTCATTCGTCAGTCG